GGTTCATTTTATATCCCTGGATATATGGATGCAATTGTATTGTCCTGGTTTTTACAGAGAAAAAGAGAAAAGAAATGATGAAGTTTGTCAACAAATGGAGTATATTATGATCATTCTCATTCCCGTTGAGGTGATCACAGTTCCAAACTGAAAAAGTTCATAGCCCGCAGCTAAACAAATTTACATCTACTGAGGTGGAAATATTTTGCCTAAACATTGAGCTACACCGCGTTCCCTTCCTAGCATCCTTGTGATGTGATAGACCTCAACACCCAGGATCCCAAAGTGAGCATCCCATCAATGCCTGAGAATTTGGGGAGCCGAAGTCCCAGGCATGAAGAGAAGAGTCACAATATGGGAAAGGCTGAGATAAGTTTTAAAATAAGCCAAGTGTGTGGACTGTCTGTAGCTATCTCTGCTCCCAAGCATGGAGGGAACCATCCACATGGCCAGCTGTGGATCCAGCATCACTGCTGTGCATTCACTCCACTTCCTGACCTCATTCCCCATTTCTTCTCCAGAGGATATAATTTACTTGTGCTTGAATGGACCGGTTGTTTCTTTCCTTCCATGGGGATGGGGGAGAACCATGCGCGCCCCCTCCCCTTTTCACACACAGGCATTAATTTGGAAGCTGCCTGCCTTCCTTGGCCTATTCAGGAAGGCATTATCTGGGCTGCCTCTGTCTCCTTGTTTCCGCCCCACCATTCATCCAAATGGCAAGATAGCCCCCTCGATTCTTTTCCCACGCCACAAACCCCTTTTCCTCAGCAGCTCCCTCATTTCTGCTGGGGTTTTTTCCCTCCCTCCTTTTTTATGAGGAAGGATCTTTTATTGAGCCAAAGGATCAGGCCATATGCATCTGGGATGTCAGTCAGCTTTTCGCCCAATGGATGACGAGACCCGTAATTCGTGTATTTTTTACAAAATGAAGACCACTGAATGACCCTGGATGGCTCTATTTGTTAGGCTGCTATTGCATGATCTGATGTTGTCTGAGCTGAAGGAAATTTACTTCACTTCTTTTTAAAAGAAGTGGCTAAAGTTATAATAAAGATCAAATCCAAATTGAAACAAAACTTAAGAAAGTTAAAGGAGGAAAAAGAGCAGTAGAAAAAAAGGAAGAAGAAAAACATGTTGTCACTTCTGACTTTTTTTCAGTGCCATACAGTACAAAAAAAGTTAAAACCTCAACTTTTTGTGTGACATATCTAAGAGCTACAAGCCATTTCTATAACAACGAAGTCATTCTAGTTATCAAAACCTAAAATCCGAGTTTCATTTTTTTTGGGTTTAAGTACAAAGTTCAGAAATGGTTTCCACGTGGAAACAAAACTAGATAAATTCTTCTCTTCGATTAAAACAGCCAATTTTGCCATCTCGGCCGGGTCCCTCACCTTTACAATCCAAGTGCACTTCACTTCTTGATTCACATAAGCCAGTCCTTTAACTTGGTTGCCTTTGGCTCGAGATCCCCAACTGCTTTTCAGACTGTTTTGTTGGAAGGATAGAAAAAAGCATTTCTATCTGAGGGGTAATCCCTTTTGTTATTTTTAACCCACAACCTCCTCCTGGCTCTTTGGCTCCCTTCCGCTGACATGCCGTGCATGAGTCATTCTTCGTGCAATCTTCCCATCCACTTCTGAGAACGATGCTCTGTTAAGGCTTGCAAAGTGCATTGAACGAGTGCCAGAACGACGCTGAAGTTGCAAAGAAAGGGAGAACCCTTGACTTCAGAGTCCCTTTTCACCATCTGGAAAGCAAGATAGTCACTTCAAGCCAAAATGAGGGGTCTTATGAATGATCAAGAAAACAAACTCTGAACACTTTGGCCAGCCCCATGGCAAGCATCGCTTAAAACAGCACTCAAGGAATCCCAATATTAATTTTTTTAAAAAAATTGAAATGAGCTGAATCTTCTATTGTCATGTCCGTTCATGTGAACTCACAGATAAGTTAATTTTAGGTGCTATTATGTAAGATTTAGATTTGGGTATTTTTTTTTAAAAAAAAAGAAATATGGTGCATGTGCTCCAAATCACACATTGCTTGAAAAGGCAGTGATTCAGAAAAGGCAAGAATTCAGTGACATTTAGAGTAGTGCATGCTGGCTAGCGAATTCTAGGAGTTCACAAGTCTTAAAGTTGCCAAGGTTGGACACCCTGGTGCAGACCTTAATCACATTCTCCCTCAGTTGATTTTTTTTAAAAACAAAACTAACCTAAAATGATACAGGTATTTTCTGTTCTCCAAAGATGGAAAGCATTCAAGGCCTCTGGTCATTGTGGCTGTGTTTTTTGCACTTTCCCCAGCTCTGTTATATCTTTTCCAACGTGGCAACCAGAATTGTACCCTAGAGTCAACATTGCAATATTATTTTTGGTCCATTAACAAATGACTCCAATACGGAATTTGCCCTTTTCATCGCTGCTGTATGTTGAGTCAATTTCTTCCTGGAGTTACCTTTTATAATCACATAACATTTTCCTGATTAGTTTCAGATAACTGTGACTTTATCAGAATATATGCAAAATTGGGAAAAGAAAGAGCTGTCTATCTTAAATTGTTTTGCTGTTTGTTTGATCTCTGACACAATTTTAAAGAAATCTTTCTGGAGCTGCTAAAATTCCTTATTTATTTAGTATACGCATTTATATCCACCATTCTTCTTTTTATAAATAACTCAAGGCAGTGAACGTACAACCTAATGCCCATAATATTTAATATTACTTCTTCCTCCTGTTTTCCCCACAGCAGCAGCAACCCTGTCAGGTGAACTGGACGGAGAGAGAATTATTAGTCTAAAAAGTCACCAATTGGCTGTTGTGCCTAAGACTATCTTCTGGTGATTGGCCCATAGACACCCAGCCGGCTTTCATTCCTAAAGTGGAAATAGGAGCCACACTGTCCTGGGTTCTGGCTTAAATCACTAGACCAAATTGACTTTTGCTTTTTGATATCCAGAAAAAAATCAGTTATAAGGCTGGACCCCTTCCAGACAACTCAGAACATTTTGTTTGGAGACTGAAACATTCCCTGACAGATTGTTTTGCACACCTGGCACAAAAATCCTCCATAGCTTCCTTGTCACCAGTACACAACTGATATATTGTCACTGCTGCCAGCTACCTTACACAGTACAAACACCCAACCATTGGAAAACTTTCTCTCTTTCCTAATAGCATGCAGAATAGAGCGACAAATAAGATTAGGGGACTGGAGGCTAAAACGTATGAGGAACCGCTGCAGGAATTGGGTATCCTTAGTTTAATTAAAAGAAGGACTAGGCGTGACATGATAGTAGTCTTCCAAAATCTCAGGGGCTGCCGCATAGAAGAGGGAGTCAAGCTATTCTCCAAAGCACCTGAACCAAAAGCAATGGATTGAAACTAATCAAAGACAGAGCTATCCTAGGACTAAGGAGAGGCTTCCTGACAGTGAGAACAATTAACCAGTGGAACAGCTTGCCTCCAGAAGTTGCAGATGCTCCACCACTGGAAGTTTTAAAGAAGAGTTTGGACAGGCATTTGTCTGGAAGGCTGTGCATTCAGAAAATATTCAGACCCCCTTCAGTTTTGTCAGTTTTGTTATGCTTCAGCCTGATTCTCCACTTGTTATAATTCATTTTTTCTCTCATTAATTTACACTCTGTACCCTATCATTTACAAAGTGAAAACAAGTTTAGAAATGTCTGTAAATTTATTAAAAAGAAAAAAAAACACTGAAATATCCACTCGGTACTTTGTTGAAGCACCTTTGGCAACAATTACCCCAGCCCCGAGTCTTTGGGGGTGTGCAATACAGGATTTCCTGCTTGAGCAGGGGTTAGACTAGAAGACCTCCAAGGTCCCTTCCAACTCTGTTACTCTGTTATATTAAAAAGTACCATTGGCTGAAAGGCTTTGCCTCTGTGATTTTAGAGAAATGGAAACTACAGAACAGATTCTTTGTTGCTCCTTTTACAGAGACATCTAAATGGACTCATACTACCTCTGATAGTAGATATTCCAGCTGCCCAGATTTAGGTTATGCCCAGATGCTGCTCATAGAGGAAGTGTCCCTTGTAATAGTGCATATAGCAGCAGCATGGAATATCTGTTGAACCCCGAAGAGCCAATGTATCCGCAATGCAATCTTTGTAAGTGTAATTCATTTAAATTTTAGATATTATTAATCTGTTGATTCTTTGTCATGCGCATTGAATCATTGATAAGTTTGCAGCACAGATTTATTCAAGCCTACAAACAAGAGTTCAACATTTAAAATGGTGCCAGAGAAGCGTCAGCAGAATTCAGAAGAGTTTGGACTTGGATCCCTTGTGGCAACGCAAGGACTCTAAACTGATGATGCCTTTAACTCCACTCTCCAGCTCTGCTTTTCTCCAACATACTGATAGTTTAAATATCTTGATACTAAATACTAATATTACTAGTAATACTATTAAAGGAAAAGGTAAAGGTTCCCCTGCACATGTATGCTCGTCTTTCCAGCTATACGGGGTGGTGCTCATCTCAATTTCTAAGCCAAAGAGCCAGTGCTGTCCGAAGATATCTCCATGGCCATGTGGCTGGCATGACTAAATACCAAAGGTGCACGGAACACTGTTACCTTCCCACCAGGTGGTCCCTATTTTTCTACTTGCATTTTTTATGTGTTTTCAAACTGCTAGGTTGGCAGAAGCTGGGACAAGTAACGGGAGTTCACTCCATTACATGGCACTAGCGATTTGAATCACTGAACCACTGACTTTCCTGATCGACAAGTCTTAGACACTGAGCCACCATGTCTCTTAGTAATACTATTACTTTGCTATAATTTTAGATTTTATCATATTCAATATAATTTTAGTGTTTACATTATAATTTTAATATAGGCTGTATCCTGGATCTCGTTTATAGATCTTAGTTAGGCTGTTTCATAAATGGTACTGGTCTATGACCACAGTAAACTGAACTGAAAGTCTTCCATTCATATTATTTTCTGCCTTTTTTTTTTCAGTGAAAGAACTGAAATCACGACGCTTAATGACAAATGTAATACGCAAATAAAAAGATGGAGCAAAGTATTTCCCTGTGTTGCAGATTTAATCAGATTTAATCAGTTTGAGGATCCAATTAACTTTATAGTCATACCACATGTATCTTTTTTATTATTTTTCCTAAGCTCTTTTGCCTCCCTCTCAGTTTATCTTAACCAGGATAATGTGCATAGTTTCCTATTATTAATGCATTATCTTCACTCATATTTCAAAGAAATGTTAAAGAAAAACAGCCATGCTATTTTTCCATTTTAATGTACATTATTAACAAATCCAGTTTTCTTTCTGTACACAATATACAAATAGGAAAACATGTCATTTTTATATGTACAGCATTAAGTTACTTTAATTAGGTGCTTGATATATACAAATATATATATATATATATATTTATACTTATATATAAACAGGAACATCGCAGGATGATTCATTAGTTGCATCTTATTTACAGAAAAAACAGTACAAGGATATTTCGACAAGATCAAGTCACCGGTGTAATATACACCAAAAGCACCATCTGGGTCCATGATAATATAATATATAATGCAATATTGAATAGGGAAAAAACATACCAAAATGCACTTAACAGTACTTTAGAGATTTGCACCATTCAGTGGGTGGATTAGTGATAAATAACACATGTTTAAAAGATATGATAACACAACAGAGTTTTTCAAACCAATTCTGGTAAAAGACACAGATGAGATGATGCTTGTTCTTGTAAGAGGTATCTTATTGGAGTACCAAAATCTAAAGTATGTTTGACAATTGGTGATCCATGGATCCCACTTAAGGCACAACGTCGATCAATATTTGATTTCCAGAGCAGTCTTTAAGGCTTCACAAGTGCTCTCCCATGGAAGCAAGTCTTTCACAGTAGATGTCATGGTGGCCCTGTGTTTGGAGGATCCCAGGGTGTAAACCAAGACAAGGCAAGGTCAAACAATACTGGCTAATTCTGTAGAATCTGTCTCGGTGCTACTGTTGCTCTCTTCATCTCTGGAAGAGTCAAAATGTAGAAAAGTAATAAGTACATCATCTTAGGAGGAAAAAATATCACATTAGCAGAGAGTCAGGGACGGAGTTCACATGTTATCCTACCTAGGCCATGGGTGTGGTCCCCTTGATTTTGACCCAGCCAAAATTAACTCTACAACAGATGATTAAATGAACTATGGCTTAGTCTATGATGCAACACCTGGTCCAGGTCAGACTGGAAGCGAGAGAAGGAAGATCATGTGTAATACAAGACCAAGCCAAAGCTGGGGATTACTTTTGTGCCAGGCATAGTATAAAGAATGGCTACTTAAGGAAGGGTTAACTTAGCTATAGGTTCGGGTAGGTGGCCCCCAAATCATTCTCTCTGCACAAGATGGAACAATATATGAACTCTTCCTATTCTTCTGAAAAGCCAAGGGCTTACAATCTTAGAACTGGACAAATTCGAAATGTTAGAAGTCTAGTATGTTGTTGATAGTTGTGAAGTTGTGTCCGACCCATCGCGACCCCATGGACAACGTTCCTCCAAGCCTTCCTGTCCTCTACCATCTCCCGGAGTCCATTTAAGCTCATGACTACTGCTTTGGTGACTGCATCCAGCCACCTTCTTCCCTGCTGTCCCCTTCTTCTTTTGCTCTCAATCATTCCCAGCCTTAGGTTCTTCTCCAGGGAGTCCTTCCTTCTCATTAGGTGGCCAAAGTCTTTGAGTTTCCTTTTCAGGACCTGGCCTTCTGAAGAGCAGACCGGGTTGATCTCCTCTAGGACTGACCGGCTTGATCACCTTGCAGTCCAAGGGACTCGCAGGAGTCTCCTCCAGCACCATAGTTCAAAGGCCTCCATTCTTTGGCGCTCAGCCTTCCTTATGATCCAACTTTCACAGCCCTACATTGCAACTGGGAAAACCATATTTACAGTCTAGTATAAAGAAGACTAAAAGGCCATCAGTGTGCTGGAATGTGCACCTGCAGGAAAAGTGGGTGGAGACTGGGCAACACAAGAGCTTTCCCAGAGAGAGGCCCACATCAAGAGACTGCACAGTCCTGAGTGGAAGCAGGGAAGAGAATCACGGTAGCCACACCTGAGAATCTCTCAAGAGGTATCTAATAGTTTAAAAAACTCATAGCTTTAGTTTGGCAAGATCCTGTCTAATAGGTGCAAGTAAATGAAGGACTGGACTCGATTGGAGTTCACTGGGTCATCTCTGGGTTTGGGTCTACAATCAGGAAGCTGTGCAAGACTTCTGTTTGCAAAAGTAAGGTAAAGGAACACTCAGCATTTTATATTTAGTGTCCTGTATGTTCTACTGTATGCTTGCCCTTCTGGTGCGAAAGTGCTACATCAGAGAAATGAGATAGCCACTTGTCTCAGAGCCAGAAGCATCAGATCTATTTTAAGTTTTAGCAATTAAGTTACAAGGATGCTCTCGAGCAGAGCTCCTGGGGTTCAGGATTTCAAATGCTATCCATAAGAGGGAGTTCTTTCAAATATATATTAAATGTGACCATTTTTGTTTCCTTATTTAGGGTAAAGAAGGGATTGGTGTTACTTATGTCCCACAGCTGCAGAATTCCAAGGGAATTCTTGATACTTACCTACTTACCTATGTCTGTCTGTCTCTGTCTTTCTATATCTATCTATCTATCTATCTATCTATCTATCTATCTATCTATCTATCTATCATCTATCTATCTATCTATCTATCTATCTATCTATCTATCTACCTATCTATCTATCTTCTATCATCTTTCCATTTCTCTCTCTCCCTCTCTCTCCCACTCCCTCCCCCCCTCACCTATCAACCATCTATCTCAATCAGTGGAACAGCTGGCCTTCAGAAGTTGTGGGTCCTCTTGTTGCTGTAGGCTTTTAAGAACAGATTGAACAGTGATTTGTACAGAATGGCATAGGATCTCCAGCTTGAGCCTGGGGTTGGACTAGAAGACCTCCAAGGACCCTTCCAACTCTCTTATTCTGTATTCCCTTGGAATTCTGCAGCTGTGGGGTAGAGGTAACCCTATCTCCCTACTTTCTCCCTAAATAATAGAAGTTGCCACACGGTCACAACATGACACATGGTCTTGGGCAGCATGGAATTCCCATGAGTTTCAGCCCCTGGGAATGAAGTATGCAGGTAAGAGTTCCTGCCTCCAACCCAACCAGAACAAAGCACACCACGTTCATGCTATGCTTCACTGAAGCTTCAGAGATAGGCTTGGTTCACACATTACACTAAGGCAAGGGTCTCCAAACTTGGCAACTTTAAGACTTATAGACTTCAACTCCCAGAATTCACCAGCCAGCAGGGGAATTCTGGGAGTTGGTGCACAAGTCTTAAAGTTGCCAAGGTTGGAGACCCCACGCTAAGGGAGAAACAGCAAACTTTACAAGGAAAGGCACTGCCAATTGTCGTGGTCACCCAAGTTTTTAGAATATTTTTTATTAAACGAAATCTTAGGACATCACATGGGGAACAGAGAAACATGGCCAAACGTCCTTAGCTGCTTCTCCAAGAACCTCAATAAAGTTTGCCAATTGTCTTTATTCAGTTTACCACGATTCAGAACATTCATGGCTTTGGGTAACATGTGAACTGATCCAGAAGGTAACTTCAAAGAATTCTATTTTTACCATCATGGTACAAAAACGATGAGAGAGAGAGAGAGCGGGGACCTTGTGGCAATGCATCCTGAATGAAGGGCATTTCTGCTGGCTATGCCAGCCACGGGTGGTTATGTAGAAGCCCTAAAGGCCATCACTTGTGGTATGACATCACAGCAATAGCAACAACACTTAGACTTATATACTGCCCCACAATGTTTACAGCCCTCTTTGGACTGTTTACAGTGCAAGCATATTGCCCTGAACAATCTGGGTCCTCCTTTTGCTGAACTCAGATGGATGGAAAGCTGAGTCAATCCTGAGCCCCATCAGGATCGAACTGCAGGCTGTGGGTAGAGTTTGCCTGCAATAGTGTAGTTCAATCACTGGACCACCAGAGCTCCTAATCATCGCACAAGGTTTCTTCAAGTTTGCATGATAACGCGATGGCACGAGTGATGACCTTTGTTTCCCCATGGGTGTTGTGGTTCACCGGCAGCAATCAGGAGGACGTTCCCAAGAAGCCTGTGCTGGGTGTGAGTGACAGCAGGATGATTCATGGAAGAGCAGCACAGGCGACTTGGGAGTAAGAATGCTAATTAATGACCCCTCCCTCAAGGGAATATAAGCCTGGTTTCAAACGGCTTATGCCTTTGCAAAAGGCAAAAGTTCGAAGGAGTTAGTGTGATGATTACAGACTCTGATTTATTGGACTAATTGGCTGCAAGCCACCTGTTATCTACAAAGAGGGGATAATTTGTGGAATAAAGCCATGAACCTTTCAGTTTTGGAGTTTATCTGTGTTTGCTTTTGGAAACTTCGGCTGGGTCAGAACAATTGCCAGCCCACGAAAGGCAAATCCCAGCCCACCTTCCCTCTGCCCATCAGTGCCCATCCGAGGAGATCCCTCCTTCCCTTCCTCTCCGGTTGCCTGTAGCAGGTAAGACCTCTCACCTTAAATCCTGCAGAGCTTTTTTGTTCTTTTTCCGCCTATCCTCGTCGATGGGGTAGAGCTTAAAAAGGAGCAGGCCAAAGATGATCAATGCCACTGGGGCCGCGGAGACGAGTATTTTCAAAGTCAGCTTCACCTCCTCCGGTTGGGAGCAGCCTCGAGTCTTGTATCCCGCAAAGCTGCACCAAATTAAACAGGGGGAGGTTGAATAAAGGGGACCAGAGAAAAACATTTGAACCACTTTGTGGTGGTAACAAAATCAGAATAAACGATGCAAGAGGACGATCGGTTGGAGCAAAGCTGTGTAGAGAGTTTGAATGCCGAGCTTTGTCGTGGGGTAATATTTTCTTTATTGGACAAATCATTATGTTTCAGCCAAATTATGCTGGAACAGGAATTATACAGATAGTCCTCCACTTACAATAGTTCACTTAGTGACTGTTCAAAGTAGCAACAGTGCTGGAAAAAGTGACTTATGACCATTTCTCACACTTATGACCAGCATCCCCCATGTTCATGTGATTTACTTTTGGGTACTTGGCAATTGGTTCATATTTACAACAGTTGCTTTTGTGACCTTCTGACAAGCAAAGTCCATGGGGGAAGCCAGATCCACTTAACAACCAGGTTACTAATTTAATAACTGCAGTGATTCACTTAATAAATGGGGTAAGAAAAGTCGTAAAATGGGGCAAAATTCACTTAACAAAATTCTCACTTAGCAACATAAATTTTGGGCTCAGTTGTGGTCGTAACTCGAGGACTACCTTTGGTGTCATCTGGAAATTGCTGATAACTAGGCATATCAGTAGAGAGATTTCCAAAGGATTGCAATTCCTGGATCCCAAAAGAGCTGGGAATCTGAATTCTATTTAGCCAAACGGGGTGATAGTGAAAGCTTACTCTAAACTGAGCGTGGAGATCCCCAAAGACACTCCGGAAGCAAACTTGGTGAAGAAGACGTAGAAAGAGAAGAAAATAGCCTCGTGGCCTCTGCAGTCCGGGTGCTGGAGGTTGAAGTCATCCACAACATCTGGCAGCATAGACCTAATGGAAGGAGACAAGACAAAAGCCAACTAATCAGTTTAGCCACAAGGAGGTTCCCTAAGGAACAAGATACGAACCAGATCTTTCCCAAAAGCGGCCACCAAATTAATGTTTTCAATGCGAGTAAAAAGGAAATCACATAGTGAAAGATGAGCTGAACTGTTTTTAATTGCTTCAAAATTCTATTCCTTTCCGTTCCGTGAGAAGTTTTATATCAAAATACATTTTATCCTTTATACTGTTTCCATCGTCCCTTAAAACATTAACCAAACCATTAAGCCAAAGCTTTTGCAGATGGAATTTTTGCACAATGTATGAAATGTACCTGCTTGGAAAACAAGTCAGTAACTACCCAAATGACTGTATTTCCTCCACTCTCAGGCAATTCCACTTAAAGTCCATGGAAATTTCCTTGAACAGTCACTAAATGAATGGTTGTAAGTCAAGGTCTACCCGTACTGTACACTGGGTTCTGACAACAGGCAAAGATACCTGGCAATTCACTCACCACGGCAGGAGGAAAGCAGCGGCGACACTCATTCCAGCTGCAACGGCCACCACGTAAGTCATCACAAGGTTGCTTTCCAAAATCACAACTGAGATGAGGAAAGGAGTGGCAGACTGAAGGATGAGAAGAGAAGACGTGCTCAGGAAGATCACCTGGATTAAAACCTGAATGAACTTATGCAATTTTGCACCTTAAGACAACAGAATAGAAAAGGGATTTTGGCTACAAAAGGGCCTCAAGAAAATTGGGCTACCTTGAGAGCTAAGAATGACTTGATCTTTAAGGGAAACTTGTCAACTTCTCTTTTTTGGGGGGTGGGTGCTTCTTTCCTTACTTGACCATGGTTGCTCATGAGAATCTATCAATAATTCAGAGCGGCTTCCTTATTCTTGCTCGGATACAACCATGGGTGGAGATGAAACCTCTCCAAATGTCTATCAGTCCATAGATATTTAGACTTGAAACTTATCGGTTACTTTACATTTGACCGCGATAGATGTCTTTGAACTGGTTCATGCATCACGCTGAATCATATTTCGACTCATCAAGGTTTATTGAATAAGCCACCATTGGCTGGTTTCATACCTTACTCTAAACCAGGGGCCTCCAAACATGGCCACTTTAAGACTTGAGGATGTCAACTCCCAGAATTCCCCAGGGAATTCTGGGAGTTGATGTCCACAGGTCTTAATGTTGCCAAGTTTGGAGACACCTGCTCTAAATCACAACTATATATAGCACAGCTGGGTACGCACATGCTACCAAGACCTAGCAAAATGCAACCAACCAAATGACCTCTTAGTCTGTTTTGCACGCAATACCACTGTATCTATGGAGATTCTCCTGGTTGTCCCAAAAGTTGCTTTTTCAAGAGGCAACTGGACTCGCTGTTTTTTGTTTGAAGACGTTTTGATTCTCATCCAAGAAGCTTCAAAGAAAAACAGAAAGTCCAGTTGCCTCTTGAACAAGAACCTTTGGCACAAGGCCACTGTATCCGCCAATGAGAACCGTCTGGGCACCAGAGGTGGTATTCAGCAGGTTCTGACCAGTTCTGGAGAACCGGTAGCGGAAATTCTGAGTAGTTCGGAGAATCAGCAAATCCCACTTCTGACTGGCCCCGCCCCCATCTATGCTCCGCCTCCCAAGTCCCAGCTGATTGGCTGAGTCTTCTTTTGTTGTCCTGGACAGGAGAATGGAGCAGGAAAGCAGGTTAGTGGGGTGGGGAGGAAAGGGGGATTTTGCAGGATCCTTCCCCTGCCACGCCCACCAAGCCACGCCCACAGAACCGGTAGTAAAAAAATTTGAATCCCACCACTGCTGGGCACCACAGTTCAACCCCCATCCTGTCTGAGATTGTCCCAATCAGGCCCTCAGGGTTTGTTCTCTGAAAATATAAGTAGGACACACCTGGAGCAGGATAGTCCTGCTAACAGGTCTTAGCCCTGTCCAAAAACCGATGTTTCCAAAATAAACATTCAGATTCTGCTGCAGCATTTAATAGGCCCCAGAGAAGGCCTTGCATGAAGCTTAACTCTCACAGCTGCATGTGTCTGAATCATTACTTGAACGATTTTCACGGCGGCCTCGTTCAGAAGTTACCTAAGCAGGGAATAAGACTACATTATTTCCCCATGACGGCCATAATTGAGTCACACGTTGTGCCAGTCATTAAGCAGATCAACCTGTGACCATGCCTGATTTTACGATCTTTTTTTTTTACGGCAGTGGTTAAGTGAACACTGTGGTTGCTAAGCGAACACCGTGGCCGTAAAGTGAACACAGCAGTTATTAAGCATACCCATTTTAGCTCATGTGCATTTTTTGTTGGAAACTGAAAGTAAACCCTGGTTTCTGGCAAAAAAAAAAAAAGTTGTAAATCACAAAACAATTTGACTGGAAACTGCAAACTCTTATAAATGCAGGGCAGTTACCAAATGCCCGAAATGCAATCACGTAATCATGGGAGGAGGAGCAGGTATTGTAACATTGAAATTAAGTCGTAAGTACCTCTTGGGGGAATCTGTTGTAACTTTGAATGGTCACTACGCGACCGGTCATAAGATGAGGACTATTGGTATTCACTCACCGAGATGCCAATGTAAACAGCAGTTTTCTTCCCAAAACGTATAAGGAACCACTGCCAGAAAGGGATGGTCAGTGTGGCTGAGAGCTGCAAGAGAACAACAAGAGGGAAAGAAAAGAGTGTTTATTATACTGTAGATGGGATTCGACCTACAACCACAATTGGGGTCAGAATTTCTGTTGTTAAGCAAGGCATTGTTAAGTGAATCACAGGTCTTTTTATGACATTTTTGCCATGGTTGTTAAGAGAATCACTGCATTTGTTGAGTGAATCCCATAGTCACTAAGAAAATTTGGTTTCCCTCATTGTCTTTGCTTGTCAGAACCTGGTTGGAAATGCTGATCATGTGACTTCCGGACACTGCAACCGTCATAAGTACATGCCAGTTGCCAAGCATTTGTAAATACATGCCAGTTGCCAAAATTTTGGTCACGCAGTCATGGGGCTGCAGCGATGTTCATAAGGGCAAATATCGGTTGTAAGTCACTTTTTTCAGCACCGTCGTAATTTCAAATGGTCACTAAACAAGGACCATTGCAAGTCGAGGACTACCTGTATTTAAGTCAACCAGAAGAAGCCTAAAATGCCATGTGTGAAGAATCTGCTGCTCTGATTACCTTGGAGCAACGGCCACTATTTCTATCATATTTTTGTATACATGGATTGCCATCAAGCTTCATCAATTAAAATGTGCAGAAAGTGAGAACTCTTTCCAAAGCCATGTTTAGAAATCCATTGGAGCATAAAGAAGGGAGAGATCCAGTTTAGGTTAAGTGGTTAAGGATTCAGGCTAGAAACCAGGAGACGAGTTCTAGTCAGACGTTAGGCACAAAGCCAAGTGGATGATCTTGAGCCAGTCCCTGTCACTTAAGCCCTCGGAAGGAAACAATGGCAAACCGCTTCCGCAAATCTTAATGAGAAAACTGCAGGGACTTGCCCAGGAAGCCACCAGGGGTCAAAAACTGACTCAAAGGCACCCAAAACAAACAGATAATAAAATAAAGGGGAAGTTATCTATTTTTTCAAGCATTTCCCCCCCTTTCCTTTCCTTTTTTCTCAGGATCATTCTTTTTTTTAGCTTTTAATATTCATAAACAACAATAAATAACATTACAGTGGAGACCTCAGTATTATTCACCAAGCTCAAGATACAAATCATAATTATGTTATAAAATAATTGTATGCCTTTTGCAACGGGCTATCAATGCCACTTATTTTTAACTTCACAGTTCAAGCAACGTTAAGTTCATTAACATTTCAGAATTATAGTTAACATCAATAAAAACTCCCCCCTTATCTTTAAAGCTTTAAGTTATCTAAATTAGCACACTGTTAACAATTTTTAATTTATATTTTACATTTTTTTTCTCTATTGAGCTATCTACTATCTGCATTCTTTTAAGATATTATTTGCATCTTATAATGCAATAAAACAATTACATTAACCACATACAGAAGCACGGAACCAAGTTTTCCCCATTCAACAGGCTAATATAAACATTCCCACACCATTTGAGACTTCCTACTCTTCGGCCTAGCCTGGTTAGAAATTTCCATACAGCAATAATGTAACTTGACTCACTTCCTACTCAGTCATAAAGAAGAGAAGCAGAAAGGCTGAACCCACTGATTACAGACCCAACTTACAGCCACCATTTGAGCGCAAAAATTTTTGTTGCTAAGAGAGTTTTGCCCCATTTTGCAATCTTGCTTGTCACCGTTGTTAAGAATCACTGCAGTAGTTAAATTTGTCACACGTTTGTTAAGTGAATCTGGCTTCCCTAGTGCAAAAAAGTTGATGGTACATTTTATCACATGTGGTGGATGTGCCCTGAGGCCAGGACATACTGGATTCAAATTAAAAATTGGTTAAAAGAGATCACTGGCTATCAGATTGAGGTCAGACCAGAATCCTTCCTTTTAGGAATCCTCAAAGAAAGATTACCGAAAGAAGTAAAATACTTAGTGTTACATATTACAAAAGCCGCCAGAGTAGCCTTTGTGCAGGTATGGAAAACACCAAATACCCCCAATGAAGAACTAATAATACACAAAGTAAACAGGAAGTGCTGAGATGAATATGCTAACAATGAAATTGAAAGGAAAAGACGACTCTGAATTCTTTACAATTTGGAACAATTGGTATAAATGGCTAACAAACAGAACCAAGAAGCGAGACAAAAAAATAGTTAATTGAAACAACCCTTAAGAAAGTAAAATAAAATTTTGTAAACTATATAAAGATATAAGAATAGTAATTATAGCTAAAGATATTATTTAATAGTAGACAAATGCAATATAATGTATTACGATATTTAAACCAAAATCCTGTATAGATGCCAAGAACGTTGTTGATACCAAGATGTTTTATGATGTAAAAAAAAAGAAAATTAACAAAAAATATATTAAAAAAAAAAGAATCTGGCTTCCCCATTAACTTTGCTTGTCTGAAGGTCGCAAAAGGGGATCAGATAACAGATAATCAGAGTTGGAAGGGACCTTATAGGTCATCTAGTCCAACCCCCCGCCCAAGTGGGAGAGCCTACACCATTTCTGACAAATGGCAGTCCAGTCTCTTGAAAGCCTCCAGTGATGATGCTCCCACAACTTCCAAAGGCAAGCTGTTCCATTGGTTGATTGTTCTCACTGTCAAAACATTTCTCCTTATATCCAGGTTGAATCTCTCCTTGTTCAGTTTCCATTCATTATTCCTTGTTTGGCCTACAGGCGCTTTAGAAAATAGCTTGACCCTTTCCTCCTCCCTGTGGCAGCCCCTCAAATATTGGAAGACTGCTCTCCTGTCTCCCCTGGTCCTTCTCTTCACTAGACTAGCCAGGCCTAGTTCCTGCAACTGTTCTTATGTTTTAGCCTCCAGTCCCCTAATCCTCCTGGTTGCTCTTCTCTGCACTTTTTCTAGAGCCTCAACATCTTTTTTATAGTGTGGTGACCAAAACTGGATGCAGTACTCTAGGTTTGGCCTTACTAAGGCTTTGTAGAGTGGTATTAGTACCTCACTTGATCTCGATTGTATCACTCTGTTAATGCAACTTAGGATTACATTAGCTTTTTTGGCTGCTGCTGCTGCACACTGCTGGCTCCTATTTAGCTGGTTGTCCACTAAGACTCCAAGATCCCTCTCCCAGTTACTGCCATGGAGCCTGGTTTCACCCAGTCTATATGTGCACTTTTGGTTTTTCTTGCCTAAGTGTAGGACTTTACTTTTCTCTACGTTGAATTTCATTTTGTTAGATATGGCCCAGTGTTCTAGTCTGTCAAAATCCATCTGGATCTTGAGCCTAGCTTCTTGAGTATTATCTATTCCTACCAGCTTATTATCATCTGCAAATTTGGTAAGTTCCCCTTCTATTCCCTCATCTAAGCCGTTAATGAAGATATATCACATGACCCCAGGACACTGCAACCGTCATAAATACGAGTCAGTTGCCAAGTGTCTGAATTTTGATCACCTAACCATGGGGAACGGCCAAATGTGTGAAAAACGGTCATAGGTAGCTTTTATCAGTGTCGTTGTAACTTCAAATGGACACTAAATGAATGTTTATAAATTGAGGACTACCTGTAGACCAGAAGTGGGTTTAGATTCCACAAAGAAGGAATTTAAGTTTGGTGACCTGAGGAAGGCTAAAGATTCACAATTGGTTTTGTCAGTTTTTCTCGCTTACGTTTAGTTTTATTTTTAGTTGATGTTCAGTGTATTGGGGCAACTTGGGAAACAGGCTAATTCAGGCTCTAGGTGCAGCATGTTATAAGAATGTGTTTTATGCCAAAGTCACGAGAGCCATAGGCTGAAATAAGGAAGCAACGTGGCTTTTCTGAGCATCCATAGATATTCTTTTATGCCTAAAGTTTCATTTACATCAGGGGGAGAAAAAAACTTTTCACAAACAGCAGGTGGAGCACAGAGATATGGACACGTTTCAATTCAAAGCAACCCCCCCCCCGCCTCCCCCAAATGAAGTCTAGCATCGTTTTTATATTCAGTCACACCCTTGGACCGGCAAAAGCATTCTTAGGAAATATAAATAGCAGCTGTTAGCAAACCAAAGCTTTGTTTGGAATCATATCCAGGGGAAAAACTAAAAGCAAGAAGCGTGAGAAGAGATTGGCCATCTATTCGTTGAATAATGCAAGACTGGCTTCTCTGAAGGGCCGACCCTCGTCTCCCGCTGCTGTGGCCCAGACAAAGTCTTAATCTCCCAGGGAAGGGGAGGGGAGGGGGCTTGAGTGAAGGGTTGGTGGCTGGGGGTTGCAATGGCTCTTTGGCTGAAAGGGCTTAAACATCCCTCAAAAGCGTCTCTTCCATTCATGACCGGGCTGCCTCAAATATAAAGCTGAGCCGCCAATGACGACGTCCATCGGAATGAGCTAAAAATGGCTGCTTTGAAGCTGCTATTCCCATTCAGCTCGGCTCTTCCCCCAAAAGGCTGCTCTACATATTAATAGCATCTTGGGAATTCTGGATGGCAAAACGCCTCAGTGGCAGCAGCTTTGCATAACAGAAAACTTGCCTATCAGCTCCTCCCTTTGGCGACGTTCTAGTCCACGGCGGATTTTCTTTCAGTGTGGGAAATCGAGCCCCCTCTTCCTGCTTTGAGTCGTAACAGTCCCATCGCATTTGAAATAAAAAAAAAAAACAGAGGAGAAACTAGCAGTTTGAGCAGAGGTGGCATTCAGCGGGTTCTGAGCAGTTCTGGAGAACCGGTAGCGGAAATGTTGAGTAGTTCGGAGAACCGGCAAATCCCACCTCTGACTGGCCCCGCCCCCATCTCTTCTCTGCCTCCCGAGTCCCAGCTGATTGGCTGGGTCTCCTTTGGTTGCCCTGCACAAGAGAACAGAGCTGGAAAGCAGGTTAGTGGGGTGGGGCTGGGAAGGAATGGGATTTTGCAGTATCCTTCCCAAGCCAGGGCCACAGAACTGGTAGTAAAAAAATTTGAATCCCACCACTGAGTTTGAGGAGAAACTAGCGGTACATTTTCATTCTCATTTTTGATATGCCTCATTTTGATCCTGACCTACTTCTAAAGGTTCTATCACCACTGGAATAAGGAGAATTCAATTTACAACCATTCTTGTAGTGACCATTCAAAGTTACAGCAACGACTTACAACTGTTCCTCTCACAAGGCCAATGTAGCAGGTGATCTCCACTTGCGACTTTCCTCACTGGCTTTTGGGGAAGCTAAGGCCATAGGAGGAGCCAGATTACCTTAACAACCTCATTATTCACTGCAGTGATTCGCTGAATAACCATTGCGAAAAACTGAGCACAACTCGCTTAGCAACCATCTTGCTTAACAATGGAAATTCTGCCCCCAGTTGTGCTTGCAAAGTCAAGGACTACATGCATGACAGACACTAATAGCAGTTGGAGCACATCAGTGCCCATAAATTTTCCCTTGCTTTCCTTTATTGACACCCTTCGCTGCTTGTACATAAGGACCACATTTGGCCACGTTCCAATAACCCACTGACCTAATTTTGGGGTCATGCAGAATGCATCGGATCATAAATTAATCAGAGAGGCTGAGTAAATGCAATATTCTAAAAGCCTCAAAAGGGACACGGGGGGCTCAGTGGCTAAGATGTTGAGCTTGTCAATCAGAAAGGTCGGCAGTTCGGCGGTTCGAATCCTTAGTGCCGCGTAACGGAGTGAGCTCCCGTTACTTGTCCCAGCTTCTGCCAACCTAGCAGTTCAAAAGCGTGTAAAAATGCAAGATGAAAAATAGGGACCACTTAGGTGGGAAAGTCACAGTGTTCTGTGCACCTTTGGCATTTAGTCATGCCGGCCACATGACCATGGAGATGTCTTCGGACAGCGCTGGCTCTTTGGCTTTGCAACAGAGATGAGCACCGCCCCCTAGAGTCGGAAACGACTAGCACGTATGTGCGAGGGGAACCTTGACCTTTATCTTTAAAGCAGTGGTGGGATTCAAATTTTTTTTACTATTGGTTCTGTGGGCATAGCTTGGTGGGCATGGCAGGGGAAGGAGGATACTGTAAAATCTCCAAACTTTGCTGTTTGCCGTTCTCCAAACTACTCAAAATTTCCGCTACTGGTTTCTCCAGAACTGGTCAGAACCTGCTGAAGACCCACCTCCGCTTTAAAGGCATCGAAAACACAAGGCAAGCTCAAAGCTCCAAACAAACGTCTCAAGTTTGGCATGTAGGTTTGTAATTGACTTGGTAAAAGCTTGGAATAGGTGTGATTCTCTGGTGTGCGTGTGTGTGTGAACGACCGTGTTAACGTTTTCCTCTTTTTGAGAATGTGGGAAAGGAAAGCAAATTAGCAAATTACATAGGTGGGAGTTTACAGCCCTAAATCTGAGGTCTGCTGTCAGCTACAGTTCAGAAAGTTGTGGAGTTTTTTTTTTTTTAAAAAAAGCATTTCTACATTTTGATGGGTTTGGCAATTGGATTCCCCCAGACGGTTAGATTAGTTTAGGCTTCAGTGCATTGGATAGATCCCCCACCCCCAAATGGGCTACTTTCTTCCGTGCTCCTTGGAAAGATGGGGGGGGGGTAGGGTGTGTGTGTGTGGGGGTTGGTTTCTACTCCCTTCTGGCTTGGCAGGAAGCCTGGTCTTTTCTTCTCCCCCCTCTCCTCCTCCTCCTCCTCCTCCTCCTCAGGCCTTCTCAGAAAACTTGGCCCCCAGACTTCCATTCCGAGCCTGATCAAGACAGCTTTCTCTCTCTGGTGATGAAGGGCCGGCAGGAGGAGGGGGAGAAAAATGGCAGGCTTAATGGACAAAAGATCAGCCTGGGTTTTGTTTCCGCCTATCTTTTCAGACCAGCTTCTAAAAGCACACAAAGAACGCGTTGTTTGTGATCAACGACGCCATCTTTCCAGAAAGAGGGTTAATTGCCTGGGCTCGGCTCCTTGAAAGATGGCTTTCCCCACTGAACGTCCTCCGGTTCTCTTGCAGAACCCGACAGCGGAAAGACTTCTCCCACGAGGACGCTCTTCACTTTGCTACAGGCGGTCCTCGACTTACGACCACGCTGGAGCCCAACATTTCCAGCGAGACAGTTCGTTAACTGAGTTTTGCCCCATTTTACCACCTTTCTGGCCGCGGTTGTTAAGTGAATCACTGCAGGCTGTTAAGTCGGTAACCTGGTTGTTAAGGGAATCTGGCTTCCCCGTTGACTTTGCTTGTCAGAAGGTCGCAAAAGGGGGATCGTGTGACCCCGGGACACGGCAACCGTCATAAGTACATGCCAGTTGCCAAGCTTCTGAATTTTGATCATTGACCATGGGGATGCTGCAGCTGTCGTAAGCGTGAAAGACGGTCATAAGTTACTTTTTTCATGCCGTTGTAACTTCAAATGATCACTAAAATGAATGGTTGCAAATCAAGGACTACTTGTGCTGAGCAGCCCGGCCCTGGGATCTATTGGGTGAAGCCTTGCTGGGAAAGACCTGATCTCTGGTCTAGACGTCTCTGCCGAGGATCTAAGATTCACAGGGCAAGAATAACGGCCCACTTGTTATCTGTGAGTTATCGGCAAGATTCACTAGCTCTGTGTGCCTTGCCTAAATCGGACAGGTAGTTTAATACAGTATATCTTTATTAGCTCGATACCCGTGCTTCACTATGAAGCTATCTGGTTGGGCTTAGTTTTTTGGGAAGAGGAAATTAGAGGGAAAAAAATTGTGCCTCTGCCTACCAGCATCCGTCGGTATTCATCTGGCTAGCGTGAGAGAGTTGAGGGCTGTTTGGAAACTGAAATATGGAAACTGAAACCGTATCTGCTGTGTGAGCAACAAGGAGACAGCAAGGAGCCTGGGCATGGCTTAACTCAACTGTTCTGTACTAAAGCTGCTTGCTGCTGTGAAAGTAAAACTCCTCTCCTCTGCTTGTGTTTTGCATTGGGAACAGATTTCTTTTCAGGTGGGGAGGGGGAATAGAACTCCTTAGCATCAGAGCGTGTGAATAATAATATAGGAAATACTAATGCTCTGAAAAATCTTTTCTTAGTGAGCACCTAGAAGCCAAGAGGAACATACGTGCCAAATTTCAAGTTTGTAGGCTTTATGGTTCTGGAGATTTTGTGATGATGCTTGAGTGGTATTTTGCTTTTATATATATAGAGAGAGAGATTTGTGCATAAGTAAGGAGAGGAACCCCATGGATGAAAGGGAGGGGACCTCCCCCAAAATAGGGAATTGGTTTATATACAGTTCAAACACATTGGGTTTGGAATATGGAGAACAGTCTGTGTTACTCCAAAGAACTAGAAACATTAATCAAAAACTTTCCTAGTTATTTAAAATATTACTCAAAGAGATACTCAAACCCCTCTCTTGTTCCCATCACACTCTTTGGAATATCCTCCCCTTGGAAATACGGATGGTCTGAATCTTGCTGACTTTGACGCGTAACTTTAAACAGTTCTGTTTGAATCTGCTTTGGGTCATAGGTTTTCCGTAGGAGCCTCATTATGGGGTCTCCATTGCATTCTTGTTTTCTTGAGCTAAGTTTTATGATATGGTGGCCCACTCAAGGTCCCCAAGAATAAATATTGGCAATAAATAAATAATCCAACTTTAGGGTTGAGAAAGTATATTGAACTATAAAGTAATTAACTCTACCCAACATATTAAATCACACAAAAACTAACCAAGCAAGCTTAGTAGGTTATATAACATCAGCCGTGAGTCTTGAACCAGCTAAAGCTGTCATGCCAGGGACAGTTGAACTCACGTAGAAAAAGGGGAAAGAAGAAAAGAAAGAAAGAGAAAGGAGGGAGGGAGGAAGGTCATTGCATGCCTTGCAGAACACATACCATGATGGCGAGCAGAATGTTCTGGAACTCGTTGCGGAACCCCAAGGTGTAAGTGCAGAACAAGGCAAAGTTCCCTTCCAACAGCTGGGAAGAAACAAGACATGTCAGTGGGAAAAAGCAACAGTATTTTGGCAAGGAGAAAAGGAAGATGGCAATTGATAAAAAAAAAAAAAAACCTTACCAGAACAGAGATCTCCACAATGTTTCTCCACGTTGGCAGCGTTAAGACGTATGGACTTCAACTCTCAGAAATTCCCAGCCCAAAAAGTCTGCTGAGTTGAAGTCCACACACATCTTAACATTGCCAAGGTGGAGAAATGCTGTTCTGTAAAGTTCCAGAAGCGAAGTCCTGAAAGAATGCAGATCTTTGTTTTGACTACTTAAGGGTAGGAAAGTAGAGGAGGGAAGGCTATTGGAGAAATGCCAAAGAGAAGGAGAAAGGTAGAGGCAACAAATATTCATTATATTCCCAGAGAGCTGGAGGGTGGGAAGTGGAATTCATTGTCCATTATTGAATTGGAAGCGAACAACAGCGCAGAAGGATTCAGCTGAGCAGTGACCTCAGCACCACTCCTGATATTTGGGCAGTACATTCTCCAAAATGTTGAGGCCGTGGGCATTCTTAGGGAGCATGTAGATTCAGAACATGTAGGGTCCTTCAACTTGGTCCAGACAATCAAAACAGACTCTCCAACAAGAGCTTTAGACTTTTTCCCAGGTTAAACTCTGAGAAGAAAGATCTGGGATCCCTTTAGGATGTACTCAAGATGCAGGTAATCCTTGACTTACAACCACAATTGGGGCGAGAATTTCCATTGCTAAACAAGGCAGTTGTTAAGTAAGTCATGCCCAATTTTATTACCCTTGTTGCTATGGGTGTTAATTGAATCATGCAGTTGTTAAGCAAATTGGCTTCCCTCATTGACTTTGTCAGAAGCGCCAGATGAGGAGGTCACAAATGGTGGATCCCTTGACTCTGGGACACTGCAAACATGGTAAATACATGTTGGTTACCAAGGGCCCGAATTCTGATCACATGACTGTGAGGATGCTGCAACACTTGTAAGTATGAGGACCAATTGCAAGCCACCATTTTCAGCGTTGCTGTAACGTTAAACTAAATGAATGGTTGTAAGTCAAGGTCTACCTGTGCTCTAGTACAGGGGTGTCAAACTCAATTTCATTGAGGCCGTCAGGGTTGACATCAGGGCTGTCAGGGTTGACCTTGGGGGGGGGGGGGGGGGGGGGGAAGGGGGCGTGGCGGACTGGGTAGGTGTGGCCAACTGGGTGGGCGTGGCCAGCTTGACACTACTCCCTGGATGGAAGTGTGATGAAGAAACCTAGAAGTTGTGATGGGAAAGACTGGAAGTTCTCTCACCATGAAAGCAAGGGAGGTGAACAGGAAAGCCGCAATCAGCTTGATGTAGGGTCCATGTTTCATAACCAGCTTCAGACCCTGGAAGAAGGAAACCGGCTCAGCCAACTGAAGTTCGGAAGACTCTGTGGAGCAAAACACGAGGAGCAGGTGAGCATCTTCTCTTCCATGGACGTTCTGGATCATAAGTATTTGGCTACCATATTTCTAGAACACACCATTTGTCATTTTTCATGGTCTTGGTTAATTCCATAATTGTTCTTGTTTGCTTTAATTTATCCTAATTTTATAATTTATAATTTATCCTAATAATTTATCCTAATTTTGCCAGCCAGAGGAGGAGGAGGAAGATGTCCAAGAAGGTTTAAAAGGACAACTGCCTTGAGTGAGCTCCTCCTCTGTTGTAGGAAAGAGATCGAATCAGCAGTTTCCATAAATCCAGAGTAAAACATAGAAACCTTCACTCTTTCCCCTAATCAGAAACTTAAGCTTAGGTATGATGCAAACACCTACTTAGGCAACAGGGCTGTTCAAGGGTTTTCCCTGAACTGCGTTTGTTCAGTGTGCATTTCCTTCAGCCCATCCCGTTGTCTGCCTCAGAGAGAAACAAAGGCTGGATATTAGGGTGTTTTCCAACCTTTTTACTGGTGCAAAAGGCAGCACCAAGCTGATAAAATCAATGCAAAAAGATTTGGACAAAGTAGATACAGGCAGTCCCAAAGGTGCTTTTCCAAAAGGCGACTGGACTTCCTTGGTTTTTGTCTTTGAAAACATTTCCCTTCTCATCCGAGAAGCTTCTTCAGTTCATTCTTCAATTCATTTCCTGGATGAGGAGCGAAGGAAAAAAAAAAACACCAAGAAAAGTCCAGTTGTCTTTTGGAAAAGCACCTTTGGGACAACCATGACCTGGATGGTTGACAATCTCCATAGACATTCAGAAACAAATAGTCCTCAACTTATGACAATGGGATTGTGGTTGTTAAGTTGTTAAGTGGATCACGCCTGATTTTACTGCCCTTTTTTGCCATGCTTGTTAAGTAAATCCAGCTTCCCACATTGGCTTCCTTGTTGGAAAGTTGCAAAGGGCGACTGTGCAATCCCAGGACCCTGCAACCTTGGTAAATACGTGCCGGTTGCCATGCGCCTCCATTTTGATCCCGTGACCATGGGGAGGTTGCAACCCCTCATAAATGCAACGACTGGTCATAAGTGGCTTTTCTCAGTGTCGTCAGACAGAAGATTGTGAGCTGAGAATGACCTATACTGGAGTAAATGTGTGCTATCTTTAGCTAATGTGAGCCATTAGCGAAAGATGATCCAGCCCTATCCTTTGATGACTTCATCCCATCAGTCCTATATTTGGAAGTTTGCCCATCGAACTTCCTCTCTCGGCTAATCTTAATATTGTGCATGAGGTGATAAGGCTTTTCTCTTGAAGGAACACTCAGAAGGATTTCTCAGACATGAAGTGTGTGGACAAGGGTGAGGTATCAGGTAATATTTGCTGAAGAGGTGCGGCTCTTTTGATAAGCATCCTCCAGGCAAGGCCTCCAGGCCACTGTGGGCTTGAGAAGGTGCTTTCCTTCAGGAGGTTGAAAAGGATGTCACGTCGTCCCGAAGACTAAGCAGAGAACACATCCAGGGAGTGAGCCAACTTCTGCTTCCCGGCAGCTGGTTAGAACCAGAACGTGGGGTTGCCTCATGAGAGAGAAGCCGAGGCTAAGCACGGCAGCTTTATGCAATCCCCAACTCTTGCACAAGACTGTCATTTTCTCCCTCAGAGTTTGCTCAGGTATTAAACAGGAGTGGCACGGGAGAGAAAGTGACAATCAGGTTGCCCCAAGGGGCAAGCAAGCGATTTTTGTAACCCTCTGATGAGTCTGTGGACATAATTAGTGGGAGTAGTGATACTGAACACGCCTCCAGTATCCAGCAAGAGAAAAAAAACCCCATCCTTCATTAGTAGGGTGTCATCAGAGTGCATTTTGGGGGCCAGAGAACACTTCTGAAAGGATGGTGTAGATCTCTTTAAGCCAGCCTTTCTCCCACTCAAGTCCGATCTACTTTCCAGGATTAGAGTTGTGGAAATATACTTGGGGCAAGTCCTCTGTAACACTCTTTGCACACTCCGAGGAAAGGCAGAACCGAAATAAATAATTGCTGGCATGATTAAATTCCTATTCATTTCATTCTTTTAAAGTAAAAGCATATTTAACAAAACGTTAAAGTCAAATGGTCAGGGTTTTATAGGCTTCTACAGAGGTTCCATGCATATCGCAATATCCCTCTTTGAGGCAATATATTGTTTTAGCAGATGATCATTCAACTCAAATTATGGATTCACATCTGTTTGACCTCAGTGACTCAACCAATCTGGCTGTGCTTTCAAGATTTCTGCCCTTTTAGAGAGAGGTATCTTTATCCCAAACACTGCAATCTTTATGCATGTCTACTCTACTTCCAGAATTCTAAGCAAGGACAATGCCAGCTGAGGAATTTTGGTGAAGGAGAAGAAAAACGCTGAAATAGGAGGTGGAGTTAAATGTGTTATAAGTTTGAAATCCTTGCATTGCCACAAAAGATCCCAGTCCAGCCCTTCCCCCTTGAATTCCATTATCCCTTATCTAGTGTCAATTTAACTTTGACCAATTGTTGACTAGATTCTTGTATATAGGTAGCAATTGCAATAGTAAACTCCTCTATGCTTTGAACTCAATGAATGCATCTAGTTATTTGTGCCTGTTATTAGGGAATTGAAGTCCACACACATAGAAGTCGCCATGGTTGAGAATACATAATATTACACGATGTGAGTTGATTCACTTGGCTTACCTTGTCTTTCCCGCACGCCTAGAGACAGAATGGTAGCACAAAGAATATAAATCCCACCGATGACCCCGGCTGCAATCATATAGGCATTTCTCTGTAAAAGGATAGAAAGAACGGTGGAAAAAAGGAACATTTCAAATGAGATCAATATTTCAAGCAGAATATTTTGTAGAAAAGCATCATTGGATGCTTAAAAGTATTCCTCGACTTACAATGGGGATTGGAATTTTGATCACTACGTGATGCTTAGGCCAGTTTCATGACCATTTTTATGGTGGCTGTTAAGTGAATCATGTAGTCATTAAGTGAATCATACAATCGTTAAATAATTCTGGCTTCCCAGCTTGTTGGAAGTCAACTGATGCTGCAACTGTTGTAAATGCGAGTCAGTTGCCAACACACCCAAATTGCAATCACGTGACACACCACATCATAGCTGCGAGCTGGGTCATAAGTCATTTTTTTAAGTACTATTGTAATTTTGGACTGTGGTTAAACTAATCATCGTAAATCAAGGACTACCTGTCCTTGGCCATGAAGTATTTAAAAAGTTTTATGATCTACTGAAAAGCAGAACATTAAGCCATTGCTATTATTGCTATATTAACAATAACATTATTGTTAATTTATTTTATTAACAGTAACAGTATAACATTCCTTCCCAAAGCAATTTCAATTTTCATTTTCATTTATTATGGCCTGCAGCCAGCAACTATCCCACAACCTCAAAGACATTCAGTTAAAAGCAGTATCTTATATATAAGGCACCCTGAGAACTTGACCGGGGTTTATTTTAAACATGATTAGTTCCATAGTCACCTGGTTTGGGTTAGTAAGCATTGTAGCTAAATGATGGTCCCCAGAACCATTAGGAGGTGGGTTTTTTCATCTTGTAAATAGTTTTATAAATTAATCAGTATCAATAATCCCAGAATCCCAACAATTCTTCCAGATAAAATCAAACTCTGATTAGAAGAGACATCCTGGTATTGATGTTACAAGATCTGCAGATTAGTAGCTAAACTAGATACATCGAAACTATGTGTCTATAATACAGGCAGTCCTCGACTTACATCAGTTCATTTAATGACTGTTCGAAGTTACAACGGCACTGAAAAAAGTGACTTATGACCATTTTTCATACTTATGACCATTGCAGCATTCCCACGGTCATGTGATTTACATTTGGATGCTTGACAACTGGTTCATACTTGTGACGTTTTCAGTGTCCTGGGACATCTGATGTCCTTTTGCGACCTTCTGACAATCAAAGTCAATGGGGAAGCCAGATTCACTTAACAAATGCGGCAAGGGAAGTCGTAAAATGGGGCAAAACTTACTTAACAAATTTCTCACTTAGCAACATAAATTCTGGGCTCAACTGTAACTCGAGGACTGTGTTGTTTCTCTAGTGTCAACAAGATTTTACATCTTGCACACGTATATTTTAATATATGGGCATAAATTCAGATGCTTTCTTTTCCTTTTGACAGAAATTCCATTTGTTTCAGACATGAAAGACTGACCAACACTTCTAAACTGACCAAAACAACTTTTAATCAGGTCAGCAACACACCCAGTGACTGCATAAGCCTTTAAGTAGGATCCATTTTAACGTGGGTTATCTTAGCATGTTGTGCACCTCAAGCCCATTTAATTAGCTCTGGGTTCAACGTAGGTGGAAACCCAAAATAAGAGGTTCACTTAATAACCAGTTGAAGCATCTTATATGGATGCAGCTTATTAGAAGAGCTTTGGCAACTAAGAACCAAAGAAGATTTGATCTTCTCTCTTGGTTTCATCTCTTCCCAACTACCTCTTCGAATGAACAAGAAGTTGGACCACAGCTCTGTCCCAGTTTTGTTCCCTAGGAGAAGATACTCTATGGCAGTGATGGCTAACCTTTTTGGGCTCCTGTGCCAAAAATTGTGCGCGTGCTTGCACACACACGCTTGCGCGCCAGCACCCAGAAGGCAATGTACGTGCCCCCTACGCATGCGTGCGCAATTCCCACCTAACCCCCACCTCCGCTGACCCCTTACCTGCACTGTGCCTCACAGCTGATTTTTTGGCCGATTTGAGGCCTTTTTCGACCTCCCAGAGGCTTGAGGAAGGCTTCTGCAGGCTTTGCAGGCCAAAAACTAGCTCCATTTCATCACTTCCGGTATTTTTGTAAAAACAGGAAGTGATGAAACGGGGCTAGTTTTCGGCCTGCAGAAGCCTTCCTCAAGCCTCTTGGAGGCTGAAAAAGGCCTCAAACCGGCTGAAAATCAGCTGTGAGACATGCACATGTGCAGTGAAGTAAGTTTACCCGTAGATCGTGTTCCGGCACAAATGACACTGAGTGCCACCTGTGGCACGCGTGCCATAGGTTCGCTATCATGGCTGTAGGTCATTCTGTCTCTAAAGGCGGAACATCAGTCTTTTCACTTTGGTTAGCCCAACAAAGCAGCCACAAAAATGAAGATTATCTTTTTCTCAACTCATCCTTCAGCCAAACCCTTTATCACAGTGTTTGTCAACCTCAGCAAGTTTAAGATGGGTGGACTTCAACTCCCAGAAATCCACTCATCTTAAACTTGCCGAGGTTGACAAACACTGCTTTACCGCGTTGTAGTAAGAACACGGAATTGTCCGTAAGAGTCCATACCGTATCAGAAAGCGAACCCGTGTCACGGGTGATGTTGACTTCTTCTAGGACCACCGAAGAGTTGTTCATGTTCAAGAAAGGTGGGTCAGAAATACAAGGAATATCTACTCTCCCCACAATCTGTCCTTGGATGGCTGTTCCTAGGACAGTGCCAAGCACTTCTACTGTCATGCCTGTAGAAATCAGGGATAGATAAGATTAGAATGCATAAAACATAGGCCGAGTCCCCTTTCAAAAGTAATGGTAGATGCTGGTTTTAACTCATTGAGCACCTGAATATCAGCATTCACATTTTAAACTCAACCATATTTTAAGTTAGTTGTGGGTTCATCCAATCCAGTTCATTTATAATACCACCTCATGAAGCATAACTCATACATGTCAAGGCTCGGTTCGTAAACCCCCCCAATGGTTGGCCAACATGTTCAACTGAACCAAAATGAAGATTTTGGTTCATCAACTAGTGAACACAAACTTCAACCAAGCCATCCTGCTAAGCTACAATATACTTAATTGAGGTGGAGCCAGAATATTATGTGAAGATAGACCCTAGATTTTGTGGCTTAGAATGATAGGTAAACCTAGTCAAGGTGTTCCAAGCAATATGCATCCACGTGAAAGCATCTTGATAGCCATGTAAGCAAGCACCTCTTAAAAGATGAATTTCTCAAACATCAAAGAAAATAATTCACTTTATCTCTCATTTCCTAGCTATAAAGTTATATTCGTTCCCAATACGGGAGAAAATGAGATCTATGTTATGAATTATGAAACAATGATACAATGAGCTGCTCTTAGCACATCAGATAAGTGGAATGGATTATCAAGATGAAGGGTTCAAGACAGCACATTAAATGCTACTTTAAATGGGCTAATAAGGTACTACAGCCTGGATTTTGCAAGGAGTCAAAAGCTACCTCACTGGAAAACTGGAAAGAAGTATTGGAGAATACTACAAGCAGAATTCTTCCTATCACTTCCATATAATATAAACTACATAAGAAAGCTAAACACTGGTTGAATTAAAAATGACTGCAGTCCAACAAGATCAAACTGCCTTTGCCCTTTAGATTTCTTTAGATCACTGGGACAAATATTAAAAACAACCACTGGAAAACAAAGAATGGATAGACTGGAAAATCTTATAATTTCCTAGCATCTTCCTTGGGTTCAATCGTACAATTTTATGTATGTTTCTGCAAACACAGACAGACAATCATCAGTGGGCTAATAGATCTCCCATAAAGCCATCTAGGGTGCAAATGTGCAAGCTTACATATGTATTGAGAATAGATTAGAATGATGATAGATAGATAGATAGATAGATAGATAGATAGATAGATAGATAGATAGATAGATAGATAGACAGACAGATAGACAGACATAGATGAATGGGTAAGTGGATGCATGAGTAGATGGATGATAGATAGATAGAAAGATAGATAGATAGACAGACAGACAGACAGCCATTTAGATACACACACACACAAATTGTGGTGTTTTGCAGTTCAGTGTATCAGAAGGGGAAGAGTCGGCTTCCATAGTTAGAAGCGTGGAAGCCTTTGAATATTAGTTTTGCGTAAACAGAAATGGGGGTCTCTTACGGTAGGCTGTGGCAGAATCCCTTTCACTCTGCTCTCTGCTGATGAACATGGTGAGGGCCGAATAAGGAACATGGAAGCACTGCCAAGGAGAAAAGAAGGAAAGATGCTAAGCTTGTACACACAAATTCCGCTTATAAATGCAAAATATAGAAGGATTATATGCTGGGCCATGGCTGCAATCAAGATTTGATTTGATGTAACACATGCAAAGACATACTATTTTTGGAAGAAATGATTTGGGGAAGGGCAGGGAGAAACCAGCTTTGGGACCTTACGAGGACAGAGACCAACAGGCCGAATTAAATTCTAAAATATGTTGAAAGACTTCAGAGCATATTCAGCACATAAAATCTGATTCAGATTTTATCAGGCTATGTTGATGAATTGATTGGGATACCTCTATGGCAAAAATGGTGCCCCCCCCCCCATTACAAGGAGTAGAAAATATTCCTACAATTGCAAACATTAAGCCAAGAGTTTCCAAGCAGTGGGTTAAGAGTGGATGTATCTGCAATAGAACAAGGGGGACTAGAATCTTAGAAACAGGTTATCAGAGATATACATTGTATAATCATGGGTCTCCAACCTTGGCAACTTTAAGACTTGTGGACTTCAACTCCCAGAGTTCCTCAGCCAACTTTTCCCACAAGTCTTAAAGTTGCCAAGGTTGGAGATCCCTGTTCTATATAGCAATAGATACACAGCAGAGTCCATTCAAGTTTGCTTCTCCTTGCTAAAATGTTCCTTTCTTGCTTATTTGAGCTCCCCTCCCATCTTGACAATCTTAAATCCAGCATTTTACCTATATGCTGGTTTTACGATAGCCCATCAAGGTGCTGTATGGAGCAGAAGATCAAAGCAAGCAAGGGCAGGACAAAAGAAAGGACCATGGAGAAGAGGAAGGCCCGAAAATCTGCATTGCGAAAGGACAGACTCACCGTCACAAGGGTCTGAAAAATGCAGTAGAAGAAAAGGTACCACATGACTTGTCCCTGAGAGATGTCGGGCACCAACCATATCATGAAGTAGGAGATCACACCAAAGGGAGTGGAAAAGACAATCCTGTTGGGAGATCAAGTCAAATGAAAGAGTTAATATACGGGGGTGCTCGGAGAAAAGGCAAAGAAAGGCAGGATTGAGCTGTCACGCCATTGTGATATGTGCTAAGTTGGTTTAAGGTGGTCTGATCAGTGAGATCTCAGCAAAATCCCAACCAATTTGGGGAAGAGACCTCACTGTTCTGTTTGGATCCCACTGGCTGCACCTTGAACACATTAACCCCAGCTGGACAACCCAAGTTAACCATAGTTATGGAACGTTTCAATGAGAATGTGCAAAGGCAGCACTAGATTGAAGAAAAACCACCAACACAATACACATTCTCGGGTTTCTACCCAATGCCAATTTTCTCACACTCCCCAAGCTGGGTTAACAGAATATAACTGCTTCCCAGAGCCAAGCCCAAAAAAACACACCATATGGTGGCTTATCCTGATGGCTTAATTGGTCCAGCATGCTAAACAACAACTGAGAACCCCAAACTGCTGAGCACACAGTAGCCAACTCTACTTGGTTTAATCCTGTGAAGTATGTGGACCCAGCCTCTCTCTTTCTTCTCTCTCTCTCTCTCTCATGCACACACTCAGCCTTCACTGATGGCTCTAAGCCATTAAGTGGTTTGCTTCTTTTTGGCTTAATGTAGGAATAAACAAACAAGACGATGGTCTATGAACATCCTTTTCATGCCCTTAGAACGTTAGGCCTTTTTTTTTTTCATTGCAAAATAAATCTCTTAAGACTTCTCAGTGCTTCAAGCACCTAATGTACCCCTTAAATCTCCTTGTCCACTCAAGACCAGCCCCACCCTCGCTTTTGAGTGCAGCTTTCAACATGGCTCGCAAGTCCTAGGACGACATCAACCTTGGCATGGGATTCATGGCTTTGTGCTTTGCAGGATTTAAGCCATTGTTCTAACTCACAAACCAAGCCATTGGAGCTATTTCAACTAAACCCCACACGATGTTTCTTTTGAGTTAGACTTCTTCCCAAGCCATACAGTATCGGTCATTTTGCAGATGTTGTGGCTTTCAGCTTCTCCTGGTTCCAACTATCATGGCCACCGGAAAAGAACGGTAAGAGAGACCTACCGAAAAATCTGGAAGATGTCAAGATGCCTACTGTTAATTTAAACAGTATATTTACATCTAACTAGAGTTAGGAAGCCATGATTAGGAAGCCTCTCATATGAAATAAAACCGGCAAGACTAAACTTTTATCTCTACCTGAAACTATATTTCTAAGATCCAGGGAATTCAGTTAAGCACGATTCTCTCTAGTCCAATGTTTCTCAACTTTGGCAGTTTGAAGATGTGCGGACTTCAACTCCCAGAATCCCTCAGTCTACGCTTCTTCAAGTCAATAGGCCTTACAAATTTCTAAGAGTTTTAAGTTTTCAGAATGACCCTTTATGTTCACATCTCCTAGGACCTCCTAGGGAGTGGAGGCTAGTTGCTAGGTTGGTGGAGCAAATTTCCATAATGCATCAAAAGCAGAGCAATGTTTTTGCAAAAAATGTTGTTCCTAAGGAAAAAAATGTCCAGAAAAGCAGCAGGAAGAAGACTAGAGGAATCTAAACATTACTTGCAAGTGGCAGCAACATGCCAAGATGGTCTTCTTTAGAAGAAAGGGAGAAAGGTTCTGATCTAAGCATGGTATATAAAATCATACGTTGCAGTGTCCTACCTGTCAATGAATACTTCAGCTTCAACCATAACAACACAAGAGCACACAATAGATACAAACTCAAGGTTAACCGCACCAAACTTGATTTCAGGAAATACGACTTCAGCAACAGAGTGTCTGGAATACTCTACCTGGCTCTATAGTTTCTTCCCCAAACCCCCAAAACTTTAACCTTAGACCGTCTACTATTGACCTCACCCCTTTCCTAAGAGGTCTGTAGGGGGCGTGCATAAGCGCACCAATGTGCCTACCGTCCCTGTCCTATTGTTTCTTTTATTTTTTCTTATATGTACCCATTTCATATATTCATAACTATGTATATACTTATACCTATTATCTTGTAAGCAATTGACAAATCAAATCAAATCAATCAATCAATAAATCAAGCCTGCGTGCCTGATGTGTAAAACGAGACCAGGGAAAAGAGAAACTCAGCCAATCCATTCAAGCGAGGTGGAAGGACTGAACACCTTTAGCTGGCTTCATGTTCTGACCCAGGCTTCCTCAAACTTAATAAAGCACACACTGAATTTAAAAGTAATTTGGAGACTAAAGAGGATATGATTTCTCCTGAGGCACAGGCTGGCCTTCACTTTTTACCACTCAAATGAAAAATGTTCTCTTCTTCCAGATGATGGGTTATTTCCTGGGGTTTCCCTTGCAGTCAGGCAAGTTACTGGGGAAAACTTATTTTGGGTTGAGCAGGGAGCACGGAGATGACAAGGAGAGGAAGAGAAACAAAGAACACTCATTTATAATGTCTTTCTTTTTAGTCAGGTGGGAGAAGGGAGAAAATTTTACCTATCATCTAGAGACATGCATAGTTCAACTTCCCTAAATGTTGTGACCATTTTATGTAGCTTTTATGAGTGCCAGAACAATGGTCTGTTGGAAAGGAGAAGAGAGAGGGGAGGAGAGGAGAGGAGAGGAAAGGAAAGGAGAGGGGAAGGGAGGAGAGGAATGAAGAGGAGAGGAAAGGAGAGGGGAAAGAAAGGGAGAAGGAAGGAAATTTCTAACAGGTTTCTGACTTTAGAATGCTTTCTGTTTCTGCACCAAGTTGTCTGTCTGTCTGTCTTATTGATTTGTTTCTTTGTTTTTAGATATGCATGTGAAATTTATTGGCTGATCATCTTATCTCAGGCCAACTCTGGGCAGCTTACAACCATAAAAGATAAAAACTATAGAAAGTAAAAACGTAAATAAGTGAATACAAAAAGCAAAAACACAGCAGCCCAATGAAAAGACGACGGGAGGGTGGGGAGATGGGATCTTCTCCCCCTGTGATGCCCCCCCCCCCCACTGAGGCCCCCAAGCTAAGCGGCAGAGCCAGGTCTTTGGGCTCTTAGGGAAGGTCAGGAGGGTTGAAGCCGACCTCATGGGCCTTGGAGATAATTTTATACAGGTAGTCCTCAACTTATGACCACAATTGAGCCCAACATTTCTGCTGCTAAGCAAAATTAAGTGATTTTTGCCCCATTTTACAACCTTTCTTGCCACAGTTGTTAAGTGAATCACTGGCTTGTTAGGTTAGTAATACGGTTGTTAAGTGAACGTGGCTTCCTTGTTGACTTGGCTTGTCAGAAGGTTGCCAAAAGCGACCACGTGACCATGGGACACAGCAACGGTTATATAAATACAGGGCAGTTGCCAAGCGCCTGAATTTTGATCCCATGAACACAGGGATGCTGTAATGGTCATAAATGTGAAAAAGGGTCGTAAGTTCCTTTTTTCAGAGCTGTTGTAACTGTGAACAGTCGCTAAGTGAGCTATCGTACATCGAGGGCTTCCTGTATCCCACAAAAGCAGAGTTCTCTCTCTCTCTCATTTCTTTTGCGTCATGCACAAAAGAGGCAAGCTGAAAGCAGGAAGTGAAAGAGGAAGATCCTGGACATGCAGGTTTTCCTTCCAGCTAGTTCTTTCCAGTGAAGTGGAACCATAAAAATGACGTGTCCCTCAAAAAGGAAGCAGCCCCAGGTAGCAGCTCAGCCCAGAGCTTTCTCTCCTCCTCCTCCTGCTCCTCCGCGTGCTTCTGATACACACAGGGGTTGCTAGTTACTCAGCCTTTCCATGATCTCCTCAGCTCGCTTATCTTTACAAACTGCCCTAGATCTGAAAAGAAAGGAAACTGACGTGGCCAATGCCGAAAATGCGGTTTGCTCAGGGGAAGGGGGGGGGGGGGAATGACCAGTCAGGAAGGAATCCCTCCCACCAGAGAGCAGGAGCCGAGCTCTTCGGGAACAAACTGCAGCCGGCCAAGAATATACCCAGTTTTATTTCTGTCTAGAAACCCACTTCTAAACTGTTGTGGTCAGGACAGGAAAAAAAAAACAAAAGCAAAATTTTGACTTTTGGCTTTGTTGATTGAAGTAATTTGTTGTTATAGCAAGAGTGCTTACATACCACCCCATAGTGCTTTACAGGAGGGGTTTACAGCGGCATGAAAGCTGCAGGCGCCCCTTGCAGCCCAAAAGGCATCCTCCGAAACTGGTAACTACCAAGAGGACAGTTGAACATGGTCTTCCATTTGCAAAGCCGGCTGAGGAATTCTGGGAATTGAAGTCCACAAGTCTTACAAGTTGCCAAAGTTGGAGAGCCCTGCTTTTACAGCACTCTCTGGGCAGTTTACAGAATCAGCCTATTGCCCCCAACATCTGGGTCCTCATTTTATCAACCTCGGATGGATAGAAGGCTGGGTCAACCTTGAGCCTCACCAGGATCGAATTCCAGGCTGTGGGCAGAGGCCAGAATAGGGCTGGAAGAGATCTTGGAGATCTCCTAGTCCAATCCTCCGCTTAAGCAGGAGAACCTATATCAGTAGTCCCCAATCCTGGTTCTTGGACCAGCACTAGGCCACAGCATGCCAGGAACCAGGCCACACAAGCAAGCGAAGCTCCATCCGAGGGATGCAGGCCGCATGGGAATCCACATCCTCACCGGTCCACGGAGAAACCTCTCTCCATGCAACTGGTCCCTGGTGCCCAAAAAGTTGGGTGTCGCTGCCCTTTACCATTCCAGACAAGTGGCTGTCCGGCCTCTTCTCAAAAACTTCCAGTGATGAAGCCCCCACCACTTCTGAAGGCAAGTAGTTCCACGGGTTAATTATCCTCACTGGCAGGAAGTTTCTCCTTAATTCCAGGCTGCTTCCTCTTTCAATTAGTTTGCCTGCTATACTGTACTCTAAACCATAGAAACGGTTAGGATTATTAAACCGATACAGTCAAAAGCTGAAGCAGTAATTCTGTTTTGCAATTTACGATGCTGGAAAAAAAAAATTGGAATCCAATGCTTTTTTTTCTTTCTTTTTTTTTTCCTCTTCCATT